AGACTATAGATAAAAATAAATATATAATTAAAATATATATATATAAATATTATTTTTGAATAATATATATATTTTTAATGCGTATAATGAATGACCTGCCAGCCCTCGTTGTCAATGTACAAACTTGCTGAGTCTGCATGCACACTTTGTTTATTTGTTTGTTTGTTTATTTGTTTGTTTGTTTATTTGTTTGTTTATTTGTTTGTTTGTTTATTTTTCTTCATTTGTTTGTTTGTTTATTTGTTTATTTTTGCTTATTTGTTTGTTTGTTTATTCGTCTATTTGTTTGTTTGTTTGTTTATTTGTTTATTTATTTATTTATTTATTTATTTTGTTTATTTGTTTATTTGTTTATTTGTTTATTTGGTATAAGCGTTTTTACATTTTAATTGCGTTTAGTTTGCAGTGCAGAGTTGAGGTGTATGTACACCTCAATGTGCACAACCCTCTAAAATAATATAATTAAATGAAAAACTAAAAACAAAACAAAAAAGATAATAAACCCTAAACCCTAAACCCTAAACCCTAAACCCTAAATCCCAAATAAATGCCTGTTTGTTCTAGAACAACAAACCTCCGCTCCCGCAAAACCTTTCAAAACCCTAAACCCTAAACCCTAAACCCTAAACCCTAAACCCTCATTTATGTACTGGCGATCTTCGCGTCGCGGTCTGCGTGCCACTTGGCGCAAAACGCGAGAAAGGCGGAAATGCGGCGGTAGTACTCATCCTGAAGTATCACAAACCCTAAACCCTAAACCCTAAACCCTAAACCCTTACTCGTACGCCCTAAAACCCTTAACCCTAAGCCCTAGGCCCTAAACCCGAAAGTCTACAGCCTCTCTTCCCCCCATAACCCTCTCTGTTATCGCAAACCCTAAACCCTAAACCCTAAACCCCAAACCGTAAACCTTAAACCCCAAACCCTAACCCCTAAACCCTAAACCCTAAACCCTAAACCCTAAACCCTAAATATATTTGGGGTGTATGTGCAGGTGCTTACCCCCGCCTTATGTTCGACGTCATTGTGATCAGCATCTGGAACCCACCACGTCTGAACGCGGTGTCTGCGCAGCTCTGCATCTTTTGTTTGTGGGGTCTCTGTCTTTCGGAGTTGCGAAGAAGAGCCGAAGCAGCATCTGCTGCTGCTGCTGCTCTTCTGCTGCTGCTGCTGCTGCTGCTGCTCGTAACGCGCGTCTGCTTCGCGACAGGACGCCTCCAACTTTAGCGAGTGAGCGAACGGCACCTGATTAAAATAAATTAAAAAACAAAAATTTTAGACATAAAAATAAATTAACTCTTTCTTCTCTTATTTCCCCTCTTGTGGCTGCTGCTGCTGCTGCTGCTGCTGCAGGTGTTGCTGCTGCTGCTGTTACTGTCGCTGATGCTGCTGTTTTTGCTGCTTTTCTTTCCTGGTGGTTTTAATGATGCTTTTACTGCTGTTCTTTTTGCTGCTGCTGCTTCTACTCTTCCTGCTGCTTCCTCTACTGCTGCTTCTTTTGCTGCTGCTGCTGCTGCCTTTGCTGCTGCTGCTGCTGCTGCTGCTGGGTTTACCTGTCTGTCTAGGCGACCATGAATGAGCAGCAGGGGGACATCTCGCACTTTTTTTAACTTTTCTGCGTTTTGAAAGGCGTCAAACCAGGGGGCCTTCTCAATGTTGTTAATAAATAGACGAAGACCTACACCCCACAACAAACCCTAAACCCTAAACCCTAAACCCTAAACCCTGAACCCTAAACCCTAAACGCTAAATGCTTAAAGGTTTGCTCCCATAGATCGCGAAACAACGAACTCCAAACTCTAAACCCTAAACCTTAAACCCTAAAGCCTAAACCTTAAACCCTAAGGCCTAAACCGCAACTATTGTAGCTTCTATTCCGCCTAATACTAAGAGCTATAAAAGGATTAGAGGGTTTGGGGTGTACGCGCACCTGAGGCAATCGAAGAATGCAGAATTATGCCGCCCAAATCTTTCATCTTCCCTTTTGCTGCTATGTCGCAGCTCGGCCCTGAACCGACGCTGTGCCCATACTGTGCAGCAACAGCAGCAGCAGCAGCAGCAGCAGCAGCAGCAGCAGCAGCAGCAGCAGCAGCAGCAG